TTGTAGAATGGAAAACTGGTAACCATTGGAAATGTCTGATTCCTTTAAAGCTATTTCCCTTATGGTATAAACAAAGTTTAGGACATGGTTGCTGTTTCTAGTTATTAACATAGCAAGAGAAAATAGCTTGCTTCTGGACATTTGCTACTTTGAGTAGCAAAGTGGACTTTAATTTACAGTATGCATTTGTACAGCCCATAGTTCTAGCAGAAATTAGACCCCAAAATCTGACTAGTGTAGGGTTCATCAGCTGCGTGCTGTGTTTTGAAACACATGTGGTAATCCAACAGGCAACATAAAGGAGTATTTTCCCATCTTGTCTTTGCAGGCTTGCCAGTTTTCATTGACTTCCTCTTTAGGAAAGAAAACTTTTTAGGCATTTGTTTTGAAGAATTCTGTATTCACAAGGAATGTGTTAAGCCTGCTACCTCGAACAGAACAGGACTCAAATACTAGATAATTTTGGATGGCCTCTAGCTCCAAGGCTTTATAAAGCATCAGTCGTTTTGGCTTGCTCTTGTTTTGTTTACTTCTTTGATTCAGTTATAGGGAGAAAGAGCACCAGCTATTAACTGCTCTGTCATTTAGTCCAAATGGAAAGCAGCTAACACTCCCAGCAGCGCTGACTATAGACTGTATGCATAATAGGGACAGTCAATATCACTTGATGTCATTCAGTGGCTTAATTCATTTTAATGAATTCATAGGCTGTAAAGCAACATGAAGGGGATAATTTTCATAATCTGAAACTATTCTTTTTTTTTTTTAAGCATCCATTTTATTTCTTTGTCATATTTTGGGGAAAAACTTAACAAATTGTCAGACTTGATAAGACCATGCCCAGCTCTGTAGCGTGAGCTTTCCCAAATCCTCCTTGAAAAGAGGTTGACCCCATAGGCAAGCTTTGTACTTCTTAAGAGATTTATTTAGAAACTTTGCAGCAACCTTAGGCTGACATCTATTAAGGAGATGGAGAAAAGTATTTGACTTTAACAAAGGCTATGATACTGCTTTTTAGCCTCTGGCTCTGCTTGTGAGTGCAGGTGCCTTCTAAGCTCTAGTAAAACATGTAAAGGAGTTAGTCACAATAACTTCTTAATTTTTATGGTGTTTGTAACTTATGCTTTCCTCTTGGCCTGTTAGTGTGTGTGTATGTGTGTATATATATATATATATATATATATATATATAAAAACCTGTGAACACAGCACCAGCTGAGGAAACATGGTCAGAGTGTGTTACATTTCATGCTTCAAGAGACGGTTGAAACATTAACAAAACAGATTTTTACTATAACAGTTAATAGACTATTATATACTGAAGTAACACAAGCAAATACTTACGTGCTTAAAGATTTTTTTCCTCACTTCCTTCAAGCAGTGTCTTTCCCCCATCTACACATTTTCGTGTTCCTTATACATCTCACTAAGCCTCACCAGAAGAGGGTGGGTAAAGCTTTCTAGGACCACCAGGTTATGGTCTGTACCTGTCACAGCTGAGCTTGGAGGAGTGGGTGTGAAAACTCCCGCTGTGCCCATATTGCAGCTTTGGTACACAGCTTCTCAGTGAAGCTGTGGCAATGCTAGACAGCTGCTGGGGCTGTGTTTTGTCTTTTTAGTGAGTACCACCACTGCAGAAGTGATCCTGGCTGTGCCTTGACTTGGTGGTCAGACTGCGCTGTCAGAAGTACATGTGCAGCTTCAGACCAAGTGGTTGAGAGACCTGAGCTGCAGAAAGGAGGCTGGGGATAGAAATGCACACAGGACAGGAGAAGCGGAAGCAATTCTGATAGCAGTGCTGATTTTGCTGGTTTAAAATGTTCTTTGAACTATAGGTTTGTCTGATACTCAGCCAAGAATTTGTCTTTCCACCGAGTCAGTTTGCTTTGGCATAACAGGGTTAGGCAGGAATAAGCCATTACTGCTGCTGGAAGTAAGTGATCTGGTTGATGTCCCATAAGGAGTCAATGGCACAGCAGGATTGATACCAAACCAGGTAGCAGCTGACGAACTTTCATTCCATGAAGATCACTCCATGAGGCAACTGAAGACAAAGGGAGAAGTAGTATGGATTTCCTTGTGTGATTTTCAGACAATAGCAGTGAAGTTCAGTGCCTGTATTCTGGGAAAACAGGGACTGACTTTTGACTGCCCTAGAAAAGGTTGGTGGTTTCAGTGATGTACAAGAAATCTGTGGGCTTTTCTGGTGTAGTGAAAATATGCGGGGTGACAATATAATAGGTGCTGTGAACAGCAGTGAAATGTGTGCACATTTGGAGCACTCTACAGGTTATAAAATGCTGATACATCTAGCTCAGTGGTAGAGGAGAAAAAGAACTGAAGGAATTGGGCTCTGCAGGGAAACACTTGAGCCAGGCTTGGAAGGCTTAGTATTATGTTCTCTTATGAGAGTTAGAATTACAGATGAGCCTCTAAAAGAAATGCAGTTATGGTATATGTATGCTTTGTGGGCAGGAGCAGTCCCTATGCTATACAGTTTTGCTTGGCTGACAATTGATTTCATCACTCCCCCCTCCCAACTTTTTGCTAGGCATGGGAGAGAAAAAGGCAAGTGTGGAAGTCTTTGTTGTTCTAAACGACAAGAATCTAGTTGACAGGAACAGGGGAGTTGCATTGATTAAATCTGAGCTTCCGTCATCATAAATAACAGGGATCAGCCATGTGGGAAATAATTACAGCATTAGTTCTGATTATGGAGGAACAAAGCTTGCTTTAAGACTTCAGTTGCTCTGGCCCTCAACATGTAAAGTACAGTGCTTGCTTCTGCTTGCCCCAGCTTACTTTATTAAAGGAATTACAGAATCTGAATGTCTACAGTAGGAGCTGTATTTAGGCTGTAGTTGCTTCCCATAGCCTTTTTATTTGACCTCATGTGTTCATTTTACCTTTGTTTTAATGAATGAAGACATTCACACATTGCAAAGAAATTTACATAATCTGTGCAACAATATTAGCTTTCAGTTGCTTAATCTGCTATTACTAGATATGTATCTTAGAGGTATGAATACAGGTATTATAAGAGTTTGCTACTGATTAAGCACTGGGACAGTCTCTGCTGTTTGTGGACTTCAGTTTGCTCACGAAGGGTGAAAAGTATTAATGGCATGTCATTAATGCAATTAATAATACATTAACAGCAATACATCAGCTGTGTAAAATTATAAGGAGTCAATGTTACCCTTCATACTCATAGAAAATGTTGATGACTGAACCGGTGAGATTAGGTACAAGACCAGGTCTTTTTTCTCAAGCAGTGAGAAGAAATTGGTGTGTTTCCCACAAAATACTATTTCAGAGCTTTCAACCACTGTAGATAGCAATGTTGGTTATTTAATACTCAGCTGAGATTAAAAAACAAGGAAAATTAGAGCTTTCTGAGATGTTTTCAGTCTACAGAAATTCACTGACATGTGCAGTACTCCTCATCTTAATGATTATGGTCAACCTCACCACATAATTTTGGCTAAGAACTTACCCTTAGTTCAGGGCATGGCACTATTGCTACCTCTTGCCTCTGTAGCTTGAAAGCAAGAGTGTTTACTCTGGAATAAGATCTGGTTGCTGCTGCTTTACCTACAGAATGGGATTTGAAACCACATTTTCCATTAACGTTTCCTAACTATCAGGCAGGATAAGGGTATTCTTCTTCTGGCAGGTTATGAATATAGCCTTCCACCAGCTCATAGTTGCACTTCTGAATTTAACCCCAAAGTCTTCCTGTGCTGGTTACACAAATGTAAAATTCAGTGGAGTTACTCCAGAAATGCATTTAGATTGCTGTGTCTGCAGCCCCACTCCCCTTCAACGGCTCCTGTGAAGCGCTGAGTGCTTTGAGATCATACTGGGAATTATAAGCTTGAGCAGCCTCTGTGGATGGACAAATAGGAGACCAGAAACCTGCTTGTTTATTTTACAACTTAAATGACTATGAAATGCTTAGAGACAAATAAAGTGATAAAAATCACACTGCTAAGCTTGCTGCAAGTTACTTAGCTACCTGAGTATCGCTTATGATGCTTGCAATATGGAAAAGAGGAGAATGCTTGCGGGCAATGGCAGTATCTGTGGCTGTCACCTGCCTGATGTGCCTTGAAAAATACTGTAGGACCGTGAAAAATAGGTTGGCAGTTCAGCTACAGCAGACTGTCATTTTTTTCCCCTTGAGTGGAATAGGTATACTAGGAAGGGTATACCTGAGTATACCTAGGGTTGCTAGGTATGGTTTACATGGCTGTAATTTGTAAGAGATAAAGTATCCTAATTCTACTTAATGTGAAAGGGTTTTAGATGCTAACTTTCTTAGTCTGCTTTTTTTTGAAAACTGTAGCTCTTTTTTCATTGTCTTTTCCTGTTTGAATGAGATACTGTAATCTCAAAGTTTAGTGAAGACTTGCTCATCAGAAACCAGCTGAGGTAGTAAGTCAAGGATCAATACTATTTGCAAGCCATGTGTAACCAGCAACCATTTTGGTCTACTTGTGCTGTTTGATACCAGTTATCCCAGAGGAGAGGAGGAGAATCCAGAGTTCAAGACATCTACCTTAGCCTGGAATAATCCTGATTGAATAGATACATTATGTGTAAGTTTGGCTAAGTCTTGTGATTTCTCTGTGTTGGTAATACCTTAGTGGAGCTAGGTAAGGTTACAGTAAAGAGAAGGCAGACACTCAAATTTTGAAATAATGGGCTCCATGGAGATACCCAAGGTAGTAGTGTGGGGTAATGTAGATTATCCAAAAGAAGGAGTCCCCTATGGATACTTGCAAAATGTGTTTTTTTGATGTCTTTGTCGTTACGAGAGAAATGTCACTGGAGGGTTTTGCTAAATAACTGGGTCTGAAATATCTGACTTTCATAGACAGTCAGCTAAGAGATGTAATAGTAATCCAGCTACCAATCTTTTTTCTTATACCAGGGCAAGGTAGGAATGTGTATCTTCACAACTGGTATTTATAATGGATATGGCCCTTGTGCTTACAGAATGGACTCAATGCTCTGCACCTGGCAGCTAAAGAAGGCCATGTGGGACTTGTACAAGAATTACTGGAAAGAGGGTCAGCTGTGGATTCTGCCACCAAGGTAATTCCTGTCTGCCTGTAAGTTTATTCACAAGAAGGAAAAGTCAAATACGTGGGAGAAATTTTTTAAAAAAGAAGATACCTCACTGATATTTAAACTGCGATTTCTATTGTGGTGTGTGAGTCTGTCTTCTTTGCCGAAGCTCATGGGCAGTAAATGAAGAGGCAAAGATTATTATTTGTACTATATTTTTATAGGGGAAGCATTAAAAGTTTTACTAATGCCATTTTTTTCATTATTTCCAATGGTAGGTCCCCATTAGAGAGGGAGTGAATGTAACTCAGAATATTAAGATGTTTTCAAATCTGTGAAATTTGGACTCCTAGTGTCTAGATTGGGTGTCTGTGCTCAGCCTGTGTATTTAGTTACCACCACTGTGCCCCTGTGGTGCTCTCTTTTTTTTTTTTTTTATGATTTCTGATGGACAGAAATCATCAAGATTAACGCTTGGTCCTTAGCTCAGAGGACTTCTTGCTGAACTTGTAATCTTCAGCATTGATGGAAAGACAGAAGTTCCCTCCTTCAAAAACATCCTTAAGTGCCCCCCCTCAGAGAAGCTGTTGGTAGAACCATCAGGTTCTAGATAGGTCTTTAGGGATGTGGTCTTGTTTTGAGAACCTTGTTTCTTTAATGAAGCCAATTAAATAGTGCTCCCAGGATGAGAGGTTGGCCTGGAAAAAGTACAAGGCTCTTAGAAAAGCAGTGGTGTGCTGCTGTTTTGTGAGAGATTATTTTTATTGTGCAGTGTATCTCTTAAAGTTAAAACATTTGAAAAAGATGCATTTTCATTTTTATGCCTACTAGAGAAAATGAAAAAGGATATATCTTCTGCATTTAAGAGGCTGGTTTCTGTTACTTAAAAGTCAGATCTTCCTTTTGGGTCTTGTACTGGGAAATCTCACTTTATGTGTGATTCATAGCTTGTATTTTAGGACTTTCAGATTTCATCTGCCTTCTGCAGGGCACGATCTCTGGACCTGAATGAAAAAAAACCTGCTATCCTGGACTAAACCTTACCTAGAAGTTTGTCCTATATCCCAGTCCCATTCTGTAATTTCCCTGAGAAGTTATGCTAGGATGTTATTGTTTCACAGCCATTCAAGAAATCTTCATGGCTGCAGCTTTCAGTCCTATCCCTGTAATGTTTATGGAATATCATGGAACTGTAAGGTATAATTGTGCTGAAAAAAAGAGTGTTATAAAGAACTGCTGGTTGAAATAATTCCTGAAGAAGGGGTCATGTCTTTTATTTTTTCCCTCCCTATAACAGAAAGGGAATACAGCCCTGCACATTGCATCCTTAGCAGGCCAAGCTGAAGTTGTCAAGGTTCTGGTTAAGGAAGGAGCCAATATTAATGCACAATCTCAGGTATGATGCCGTTTCCTCTTCTCTTTTCTAAATGCTACTTGGTGAGATTTTGTAAGATAGATCTGAGATGTTAGTCAGTGATTCCAAAGGTCCAAGCCTGAGAAATCAAATCAAATTGATGCTTATGGAGCATTCACCGGTAAGTAGAATAAAAGTAAATAACAAATTGAAGTAACTATATACCATTGGTACAGAAACTTGCGTTGTTGTTGATGGAATTATTTCTGAGACAATTTATTAAAGCACACTAGGAATTTCTAAAATGTTTCAAATTGTAAAAATACTGCATTATATCAATAAAGAAGACAGTTTGTCAAAAACTTGATCGATACAGTTGCTTTTCATGGTAATTTGTGTGCTGAAAAATTGCAGAGAGCTTACACCAGGATTCTGAACTCTTTCTTTAAGTGATCAGAATTTTGAAGTTTGGAACATTTGAATTGAGGAATTTCACCTTGTCCCGGCAGGCAAACCGGTTGTAAAGACAGCCCTGTTATTTCCACTGATAGGAATCTTGTCTGCTCTTCTCAAATGTACCAGAGTGGTGTTGCAGGGACTGACTGATGACCAGTTCTCCTGTCCCTGGTTTCAGGGAGGCTGCAGCGGCAGCTGCCTGCCTGCTGTGGTTTCAGAGCTGGAAAGGACATGTGCTGGAGTTGCAGTGAAAAACATAATGCAAACTAGCTAGATGATGGTTTGTTTTCTAGAATCCCAGGCTGGTTTGGGTTGGAACGGACCTTAAAGCTCATCCAGTTGCAACCCCCTGCAATGGCCAGGGACACCTTCCAGTAGACCAGGTTGCTCCAAGCCCCATGCAACCTGGCCTTGAACGCTGTGGGGATGGGGCAGACACATCTTCTCTGAGCACCCTGTGTGCCAGGGCCTCAGCACCCTCACAGGGAAGAACTTCCTCCTAATGCCTGATCTACATCTCTCCTCTGTCAATTTAAAGCCATTCCCCCTTGTCCTCTTACAAAAAGTCCCTTTCCAGCTTTCTTGTAGCCCCTTTAGGCACCGGAAAACTGTTACAAGGCCTCCCCAGAGCCTTCTCCTCTCCAGGCTGAACAAGCCCAACTGTCTCAGCCTGTCTTCATAGGAGAGGTACTCCAGTCCCTGGTGCGTCTTTGTATCCTCTGGGACACAAATGTCATTTTTTTTAAGCTAACTGTCTCTATCTCCTCTGCCCTATCAAACAGGCATGCTATTAGCACCATGGAATAACTAACCACGTTATCCTAATGCATATTTGAGACGTATTATTTCCTCTGTTTAGGATTAGGAATAATTTATCAAAGGAATAATTAGGTCAACGTTTGTAAATGCTGCCTTAACGATGGCAACTGTAGCTATGAGGAACTGAACATATGGTACAAATGAGGACTATATGTGATAAAGAACATGCATATTTCTGAAGCGTCTAGTCAGCTTGTGACATTCTTCAAGTAAATCATGGAGCTAAGAGTGTTCTAATTGAGTCCTAGTGCATCATTCAGTGGCTACAGATACCATTTCTGTAGTAATGGTGTAAACAAAGACAAGGAGAAGAACAATTCTCTCTTCAGGGTTCGATTATTTTCAAAATTAAATTCTAGCACTCTGTGTCTGTAGGCAACATAATGGCCCTTAGCTTAATCTCTGCAGATACATGAGCAGAAGAAGAGGAGATCGGTTTTAACAGTGCAGCTAGGAGCTGCCTTGGTTGCAGAGAGTTTCAGGAGGGATAGCTGGGCCTGTGTGAGATGCTTTTCTCAATCCTCTTCTGTAGCACATTCCCTGAGCATTAAGAACATGGACAAGTTGGTAAAAGTTTTTGAGTTGTCAGAGTCCATCCTAAGTCTGGTTGGCACCACATTTTGCTTGCCCAGGCCTGAGAAACTGGGACCTGGAGGAGTTTTTCGCTGTTTGATATTACAAATCTATGATGTACAGTGTAAAGCAGAGAGCAAGAGATGAACAAACAGGTTTATAAAATGGATGTTTGTCTGTACCTTCATTACATTTTAGGATAAGAGAAAGAGAAATTGAAAATATCTTTAAGATGCTTGACTCCAAGATTTTAAAAGTACTTTCTTTATTACGCTTTTCACCTCAAAGCAACAGCTGAAGAGCTCTCTCAGGGCAACTGATGTTTAAACACTCCCCATGCTCTACTTCTATTAAAGATAGGAAATGTTGTAATTCCATTACTCAAAAAATTAGCAAACTCCTTTTCTAATGACATCACTGTATGATTTCTTCATACCTTCATCAGCATTTTCATATGTATAAGAAGATAATGTCTTTAATGTTGGGATTTTGACCATGGTAAAAGAATGTATTGTAAAAACGATACTCCCCTCAAAAATTAGCAGTAAAAAAAAAAAAGTGTTCATAAAGGTTTTTTCTTAATAAATTAGGAAAAATAAATGAAAAATTTTTTTACCAGAATTGGAAATGGTTTTCACAGGTATTGTTTCATCATAGAATCACAGATTGGTTAGGGTTGGAAGGGACTTCAGAGGTCATCTGTTTCCAGTCCCACCTGCCATGGCCTGGGACACCTTCCCCTAGACCAGATTGCTCCAAGCCCCATCCAGTGTGGCCAATTTTATGTAGTATTCTACTTTTAAATATACTTCCTGTTCGCACTGGATATTCTGTGTGATGTACATAGTCCTGTTAACTGGTATTTGCTACCTGAGCTGATTTAATCAATCTAATGGAAGATATTTTTTCTCTAGTACTGCTCCCTCATTGCCTCCAGGAAGTCTGAATTGCAAGTGCTGTGATATCTATGACTTGGCTTTATGCCATGTTGTCGTAATAAGACAAGTCTCGTTGACTTGAATGGGAGGGTGAGTCCTTCATGCAGTGTGATCCAGCTATAATGGCCAATGGGTTGTGTCTTTCTGGGTATCTGTTCCAGAAGAGGTGGGCATTAACTGCTTCAGGCAGGAGATGTTCAGAGGCTCTTGCTGCTGAGGTGGCATTTCCAGTGGAAGTTGTCCCTGGTAGGGACTGCTCTGCCATATGGACCTAGATCTGTCTCCTTTTTGGCAAATATTAAGTGTACTTAGGTAGTTTTTATTCAGAGTGTTCAGCACTTTGAAAGGTATTTGTGTTAGCACTCACGCACGTTCCCATGCAACTAGTAATTTGGATATGAATGAAATATGTTTTTTATATGATGTGTGGAAAGGATGTAATTTTTTTTGTTAGGGCTCTGAGCAGACTCCTAAGGTTTTTGGTTCTAATTCTGATTTGCCAGCTGCTTTCCTTGGAAAATAATATAAAAAAGTAATTTCTTTATGCTTCATGAATGGAATGAGAATAATGAATGCTGCCTTTGTACTCATGGTAGCATTAATATACTCAAGAAACACATATATCATCATAGAAAATAAACATTAGAAAAATAAAGAGAAGGAAAACAAACTTCAAAATTAATAAAAAAGATAATGTAATTTATGATAAAAGATCCAGAAAGATTCAAGCATGCCTAACTAGAGGTTGTCAAAAAAGAAAATTAGGAAGTTATATAGAAATAGGAAGAGAGAATGACTGAGCAGAATCTGCTTGAATACTCAAATACTAAGGGTTTTTTTGTGAGAAAGTATGTCATTGGTGAGAAGGTGGAGAGAAAGAGTCGTATCAGGAAAGAGCTTACTTAGGAAAGCCAGAAATGAACAAAAATATGAATTTAAAGGTCAAATTGAATTAAAAGGTGAGAAACTATGGCTGAAATGATTTGTTTCTTACATTTTTTTCTCAATTACATTTTTTAAAATAGATGCTATACTGTCACTGAAATCTTTCAGGAACAGTTGTTGGTATTAAGGGTATATTACATTCTCTCCTTGGTATCTCTGTTATTTCACACTTTATTTTTTTTAGGCCCCTGCTAAATGCAATTTTATGCTAGTGATTTAATGCCAGTGAAGTTACTCAGATTTCTCCATAACTTCCTCTTTAAAGAACTTGGTATCTTTCAAGGTCATTCTCACAGCGATGACAATTTGTCATAGTGACAAAACTCCTTCACTGCCAGTAAACTGATAGATAAAAGAAATCTATTGTTTTTCCTTTCCTTCTCTTCATTAAATCGCATAAATTTTGGTCTTTATCAAAAGTTACCAGCAGTGACATCTGAAACACCACACTGTAGTTCCTTGCAATGACAAAATAACAGAATTATCTCAGAAAATGCTATTAAAAACATGGTAACCACTGAGATTACAAATCCCATCTGTGCTATTTGAGGCTGTTAAGCATTTGGGCCTTTGATTTTAATGGATTTCTGATTACTTTGCTTTGCCCTTCAGTTTCATGCTGGCCTTCAGAGCTGTTACATTGTTCATTTTCTTCTTTTAGAAAGTCTGTTCTTCTGGAACTGATATGTCATTGATGCTATTTTTAGAAAAGTAATTTCTAATTTGGTACAAAACCTAATTGCACAGTGATTACTAATTGAATGACTCCACTTTCACCTGCATGCATATCATCTGAGAGCTGACATCTTCCCTGAGTGTGTTGCAAGCAAATGCTTAAATGAGGGCTCACCCAGAAACGGGCAGAGATCTAGAAGCTGCTCGTCCCTTTTCAGCATAGAATTCCACCTAGGATTTGACAAGTGTGCCGTTGGCTCAATTAGAAGTGCCTTTTGCTACAAATAGTGCTGAAGAAAATATATGCAGATCTCTAAAGCTTTTACTTGGTTGACTCTGCTCCTAGTTCTGTAAGAAGAACTAGATCTGGGTTATCAAGTGAAAAAAAATAATTCTGCAATTTCTCTTCTAGATTTTACCTTGATTTTTGGTCATATATGGGATCTGGCCAAGCTGTACTCATTGACAAAACAACATTTTGTCTGGGGACAGAGGTGCAAATTATAATATGAAATGAGTAACGAATCTACTGGGATTGGTCCAGCCTATTCCTCTGAGCTTTGATTACATTTCTTTGCAGAGCAGAACAAGGTCATCCCATGGAATGATGTGATCTTTTGCAATGTGTTATCACTT